GCAAGAATATTTCCAAGTTTGTGAAGACGCGGAATTCTCAAGTCCGTTTCGAGCCGTAAAAACACGTTTTTATGATATTAATGCTTAAATATAAAACATACAAACAAAATGCACACTTTTTAGACTTGTTTTTCGAGTAGACAACTATGATATCTACATTGTAACGAAAAAAAAAAAGGTTTTTTGAAAAAATCGATTTCAGAATTGATACTTTTTGGTTTTAGCATAACATTAACGTAAACGTACCGCAAAGGACATTTCATACGGGTCAGTGATCTTATAATATATATAAAGAGCGTGTTTTGGGATCTCGATAGACATAAAGAAATATCTTTGTAACCAAAGTAGATCGCCAGTATTTAATCAAAATTCATCAGCAATTAACCGAGAGGGCGATTTGAAAATTTCACAGGAAAAATGCAAAGCGCCTAAAATTATTTCATGGCATTATAGACTTTTAACTGTGCTCACAGAGTGCTTGAAAAAAGTAAACATTATGTGAACTGAAAATCCACGGCGGGAGATCGAGCGAAGCATCCGGCCCACGACGGATGTGAAAAACACCATTTCCCGCCCCGGCCTTTTTTAAAATTCGTAAGTCGAGAGCAAAAAATCCAACGAACTTGAGGTTTGCGGCGACTGCGTTTTTAGGGACGACGCCATAACATATATTTTTTTATAGCGAAATAAGAAATTATACCTTTTTTGCCTGCACGATTTGAGATGAACCATATATATATATATATATGAGGGTACGTCCGCACTTTGTTTTACTTTTTTGCGTCCGCACCTTTTTTCGTTTTTCTTATTTATAAATGCATCACTTTTCTAGTCACAGAATCGGCCAGCGAGAGACGTGCGCTTCGATAACCATAGGGAATTCCTTGAAAATAGCAAACATGACGTAGCTATAACATGGCACAACAACGAAGACTAGGGAAACGAACGAACAACACATGACATATTCTTACAGCTTTCTGTGTTGTTCGTTCCTCTCCTTAGTCTTCCTTGTTTTGGGCTATTGCATTCACATCATGTTTGACTTTCACCAACTAGCCCAGCTCTCACTTTTATTACTTTATTCCACTTAGCATTATTTTGCTAGAGGATGGCTATAGTTCTCTTCCTTCTTTCAGTGTGGGCGGAGACTCATCTGCATGTACTAGGTTAAAATAAACTATAGCAACGAGAAAGTGCGAATGGTTCTTCCAGCACCCAGTGGGAACTTTCTTTGTTTATGAAAATAAAAATTCTTTGTTCATGAAAATAAACACCGGTGTTTATTTTTATTTTTATTATATATAGAATGCGATTGTCCCCGAGTAGCGGAAGTAACATGTATGCTCGGGCATCAAACTATGTGGAGCTAGAAACGTGTGCAACTTTTGACCAATCAGAAGTATTAAGACGTTTCTAACTTCCTTGAATTTCACGTTTTTAGATATCTGGGATCATTACTTTAAACCGTTTATTGTAAAACGACTGTCTAGCATTTCAATCAAACAAATTATTGGAAAAACCGAAATAAACAGGTTTTTAGGAAAGTGTAACCGGTAACCGAAACCGTAAAAATTAAAACCGTAAAAAACCGAAACGAAACCGTTATCAACAGGAAGCGGTAACCGTTTGAGTCTCGGATTGAAAGTGCGTTCTTCGTGCTTATGTGTTTATTTATACTAATTTAATTTTATTGCCTTTACCGCGTTTATAATAAAATCTTAACTGTATTTATTTATTTATTTATCAATACTGCCAGCCCAATATAGGGTGAAGGCAGGAGTGGGGTGATACTGTGTCACACATGCAAATGATAAACACAACAGTTCTAAACAAAAAGCAGTCTTAGCACCGAAAAATAATATCTACGACATATTCGAAAGAAGAGAAACAATACAGTAACCAAATGTAATACTAGTAAGAACAATAACAGTATAGCAGTAAATGTAACAGCAGTAATAAAAATAAAGACAGTAAAAATAATGTCACAACAGCAATAAAAGCAATCTTAGCCCTGAAAAATAATATCTACGGCTTTTTCAAAAGAACAGAGTGAATCAATATCGACAACATCACCGGGAAGGCTGTTACACAAATCAATTGTATGCACAAAAAAGATTGTTTATAGCTATTTATTCGAGCTTTAATAGGGGCTACGGTCTTTGAGTGATGCAAGCGTTCCGAGTAAAAACGTTTTGGTTTTAAGTAAACCGAGCCATCAATTTTTATACAGTTCTTGAAAATCTGAAAGAACAGCTTCAACTGTTGGCTCTCACTTCTGTTTGACAGAAGGCTTTTATTGGCTCTCCTTTTAAGTTCGGTCACAGACGTAGTTCGTCTAAAATCTGAAAAAAACTATACGCACTGCTAGCTATTGAATATCTTCGAGTTCTTTGACCAGAGAGCGCTGCCATGGGCTCCACACTGCGGACGCGTATTCTAACACAGGTCTGATAATTGTCTTTTACGCAAGAATTTTAACGGAAGCGGGAGATTTACCCAGCGTTCTCCTCAGGTACCACAATTTGTTAGTTGCCCGCTTTTTAACATACTCCACATGCTTTTTCCACTCGAGGTCAGAAGAAAAAAATCACTCCAAAATATTTGTAACTGTCTACTTCAGTCAATACTACGCCAGCAACCTCATAGCTAATGTTTAAGACAGTTCTTTTTGTTGAAATATGCATGTACTGAGTTTTGCTAATATTAATCTTCATGTTATTTTCACGACACCAAGACGCAATGTTAGCCAGCGCGTCACTCACTTTTATCTGGTCTTGTATTTCAACAACGAGAATGTAAATGACGCAGTCGTCGGCAAACATTCTGAGCTTAATTGGGACATCATCAGTGGATGGGAACAAACTGTTAACGTAAGTTAAAAAAAGTAGGGGCTCTAAGACAGAACCTTGGATTATAGTATTATTGTATACAAAGTTGTATTTTGTTCTAAGGCAGCTCGAGCCCATAGGGAGAAGTAAATTAGTTGACTTTAAATGGTAAGTTTAGTACCACTGCCACACGGAAAAGTTACTATATTTTTATTAAATAATATGGGATATAACCAGCTCCCGGTTTTGAGTGATTATACGAGCATTGCAAGTTGATTTGTCGACCCCATAATGTCATTCGATCGAAATTACATTAATTTTGCCATGTGGCCGGGGTATGATGCAAGAATTCAGTGACTGCATGCGATAACGTCGCTTACATGATCGTGAGAAACACTTGTCTTGCCTTGTCCGCGTTGACTACGTCTTCTTGATTTATAACTGTGATCAGTTTTGCTGTGTCCAATCACTGCGTGTCTCGCCATTTTGTCGAAGTATTTCTGTATAAAATATGCATTCCTGCAGCAATAATTGCGTGACTCGGTGTTTTCGACTTAACACAATCGCATTTTTCTATAGACGTCTTATACTCGTACCTCGTGCCATTTCGTACCGATTATTTAGCAGTGTAATATTTTGCCCGTGTAATAAAATGCTTTCTAGCCCCGTTGCTATGTGCAGCTTTCATTTTAGCTAATATGACACGCGTGTGTGACTAAAAGCGTGTTACGACGGTCGATCCACGCGCTTTGCATTCGCTTCGACGCGCGCCCCCGATTGCCTTCCTTTGCGACGACACAAGAAGAGCACTACGGCCTTAGTTTCTAGGAGGTGTTGCGCAAATACGCTGCGGGCGAAATAAGGGAGCGGAAGAATGATGTACATCCTTTCGCATTCACAACTCATACGAAGTGCTTAGGTATACCTCGAGCCTTTCTAGTTGTGTTCAACTTAATTAGTCTAAAAATACATTTATTTTTTTTTTAATAAGGGAAGAGGGAAAATGACCTGTCGCAGACTTTTCTGACGGACGCGTAGGCTAACCCAAGCTTTTTTATCTTTTGACCAAATGCTCTCCCGAAGTCCTAAAGATTGCACGACATTGGAAAAAAAAATTATAGACGTTTACATTTCTCTGTAATTCCAAATGAGACCGCAGCTCTTGAGGAGAAGGAAGGGAGTGCATGAAGGGGAGGGGATGTCCCTCCTTCACCTCCGTGCCCCCCTCCTCCTCTCCTGCTCCCCTACCATTTAACGGGAAATTCTTTCTAAAGTTCCCGCCAAATTTAGCGAAAGTTTCCCCGCTAAGTTTATCGGGGAAATATTTCCGCCAAACTTAGTGGAAAATCTAGCGAAAATTTTCTCGCTAAATTCACCGGCAAATTGAGTCAATATTTCCGCGCTAAATTTAGCGGGGAAATTTACCCTTAAAATTTAGCGGGGTAATTTCGCGGAAGTTTTCCTGCTAAATTTAGCGGGGAAACTGAATTCGTGTTGAGGTCACGTGACGTCAATTTCCCCGCTAAATTTAGCTGAAAGATTTCCCCGCTTGATTTAGCAGAAAAATTTCCCCGTCAAATCTAGCGGAAAAAATTACCCGCTAAATTAACCGGAGAAGCATCCCATAATGCAACGCGCGCGGTTACACCGACGCCGACGGCGACGCCGACGTCGACGGCGGATCTTAGGCGTCCGTTTTTAGGTGCAGCTCTTAGGCGCCCGTTTCGGACGCAGCTCTTAAGTGCCCAAAACAAGCGCCTAAGAGCTGCGCTCTAAAAAACAATACATCCGAGCCTCAGCAGACTTTCCCAATGTCATTATTCCTCTTAACGCCATCAGCAGACACGTTCTTTGATTTATGAGGTGGCAAACTCCCCAAAAGAGCGCCGTTCAAAACGGTTGTTTTCTGTTGCCCGCACACGAGACGGGCGGACACCGTTCCTAGCGATACCTCTCCAATGTGCGACGGACAAGGACATTTTTTGAACGACGCTCTTTTGAAGCAAACTTTAAGTGCACAATAAAAACCGCAGTAGTATAACGATACACCGCACAGATTGTGCACCTAACGTTCCATCTTTTCCGCCGCTTCTGTCCAGCTGACTGATCAGGAACAGCCCCTTTTTTGCAACACTGATAAGCAACGCTTGCTTCACGCTTCTTTGTTTGCAGATAAAAAACTATTATTAAACTGTGCCGAGTTAAGAAGACATGGAGAAAACGAGACCAGTGAATATTATTTCGATCTTCACGAAAAACAAGTTCATGTGAAGTGTGACATGGATACCAAAGGCGGCGGGTGGACTGTAAGTGTTACCACTTGAGGCTCCCTTCTGGACTGCGAAAACATAACGTAATTTTGTTCTTCGTTTTAAGAAAAAAATTATTAATGAGACAGTACAATCATTTTAACATCAAAAGAGACTGTAGCTCGTTATTTTTATTTCACTTGGGGTGACGTACGCACCCACCTACACAGCGGCTCCCGAGAGAACTTTTCTTCGCGCGACCGAGCAACAGCCCGGTGTGGGAATGAGAGAGAAGGAAGACGTGAGGTAACCTTCCTACACCGTGCCCTCGTCACGAGGGTTTAAAAAAAGGAGACGAGGCGGAGTGCAGCAAGACGACATAGAACCAGTGGCGTGACCAGACGCCGACATTGCTCTTTCATCATTATTATAAATTTGAACAAGTAGTAATCAGTTAACGAAATAAAACGTTAGTGTTTTTACCAACCGTTCCAGACCAGTTTACCTTCCGAGTCGTGCTGGAACAACCTAAGAAGGTATACACTTATTTATAGACTTGAGCGTGTTGGTAATCTACATTGAATTAAAACGAAAGGAACACACAGGAGGACGAAACAGACGACACAGCTTTCGTGTCGTCTGTTTCGTCCTCCTGTGTGTTTCTTTCGTTTTAATTCAACGATATACACGCTCATGTTTTTTTTGTTTTTTTTTTTATTTATTTTCAAGGCCGAGGCATTACAGAGAGGAGAGTATTAAATAGGTAACAACAAAATTAAACACATTGGAATGATTACACAAAATGATTAGCGACTGAAGTTTTGAACAAGTCGGTGATGAATGCGATGGAGGCGCTAAGGGTGTTCCAGTCGGTCCAAGTCTTCAGGGTGAGGCGACTGAAGTGAAATTGATGCGGATGGAGGGCACGCCAGCCTTATAACTTATTGTAGCGAAAGTATAACAAAACACATCGCTTCTCCCTAGATTACTTCCAAGATTCCATTGTGCAATCGCAACGCTAAAAAAAAGAGTATTTTACAAAATTACACTTGTACTGGTCACTCATGAGGATTAACTCAAGAGGTATGCATTGTAATGAATGATCAAGATGTTCAATTATCTGCTTAGCTTAATAGATCTTATTTTCCGTTAATTTGACTTCTGAACGCTGTACCGACCCAGTTTTGAAATATCTTAGGTACAGTAGGCCATCCAGAATATCGGAGGCCATCACTTCAAAGATTCTAATGGGTTACGTCTTTGAGAGTTTGGGTGTCTCCAATGTTTTTGATAAATGCATTTTCTTTGTAGTAAGTTCCAGTGTACACTTGTCAACTAGTTCAGCCCCACGCTTTTATACTTTGAACCCATGTCGATTCTTGAAATGACATCTGATGATGTAGTCTTGGTAATAAAACTCGTACTCCGAGAAAGCCTTGGGGGAAAGATGGGATTCACGCCTTTATTGCTAAAGGGTGCTGTGATATACGGGCTTATGTGTTGCAGTTTATTTCAACTTGTGTTTAAAGACATATACATTTCATTCGGCGTGCAGACATGCTGCGGTTTTGCCAGCTCATAAATTTTGAAGTGCCATGCCTATCGACAAATTCAGAACAATAACATTGCTCTTTGTATTTGGTAAGGCTTAAGCACCTCAGTTTGTATTTCAAGCCTACGCTTTTTAAGCCTACGTATTTTAAGTGTTTTTTTTTTCCTGGATTATTTGTTGATGCTAAACCATGTTACCTTTCTTTGAGTCCGCAACGCCAATAACTGGGTCTTGCGGCTAGGTTGACGTTATTTATTTTGGCTGTTCAAATGCGTTTTAACTTGTATATATCAGTCGATTGTCAACATAGCTGTTTTATATGGGTCTTCAGGTTTTTTTTTTATTGTCTTACTCGCGCTGGAAAATTGTGTCCTACTTAGGATGCAAGTAAGCTCCTGAATATGTTATATTGGGGTTTTATGAGGATGAAATCTGGGATCTTTGCTTTCAATTTATTTGCAAACGACCTTGCTTCTAAGAAGATTCTTCAGTTTGATGATGTCCTGAATATCTGTTATGGTATACGCACATCTCTTGACTGAATTGTTGAAAAGTGACATTGATGTCATTTATCTTAGCTGTCGCGCAAACTTGGTGTCTTTGAATCCTGCAAAAGCTAACGTTGTTTCTTTCTTGCGTAAGGCTAATATCATTGTTCATCCTTCAAGATTAAGTGCTTCGACATTAAAAGGTCTGTTGTACGTGACCTCGATGTTTTGGTTGATTCACGCCTCAGTTTTAGTGGACACGTTTCGAAAATTGTTAATTATTCTTTTTGTTTGCTAGGTGTAATTTCCCGTATTTTGTACCTATTTCTCTCGATAGTCTTAGCATGGTGGAAATTTTCTTCCAGTATATGGAACTCCCTATTCGTTAGTCAAAAGCTTAGGCTAAAGTCCGTGGAACGACGCTTTGTAAGACTTCTGCATGATCGTCCCATTAGACGGAGAGATTTCTGTTATGAATATGTGCGTCTTTTATCCACTCTCAATATTTCGCATTTTTCTAATAGACGTCTAGTTCGCAATATGGCGCTTCTTTGTGAGGTGTTCAACTCATTTTTTAATTCTTCTGTGTTAAAATGTCGAATCTTATTTTATGTTCATCAACGACAAAATATATCGACGACCTTTTTGGGCCCATCTAACCTAGAACCTGGCCCTCCATTGACGGGAACGCGACAGAACAGCACACGACAAAACAGCACGCGACAAAACAGCACGGTCAAAACAGCACGCGTCGAAACAGCACAGCGTCAAAACAGCACGGCGACAAAACAGCACGCGTCAAAATAGCACGCGACAAAACAGCACGGCGTCAAAACGGCACAGCGACAGAAGGGCACGTGCCAAAACAGCACGGCGTCAAAACAGCACAACGACAAAACAGCACGGATGTAAAAAGGCTGTAATAGGTAACGTTTTATGAAAACAAAACAGAACGTAAAGAAAATAGATTGGACAATGCATGACATTATTTAGCAGCTAGTGGAGAAACAATAAAAAAATGTACGCTGGCGGTGAAGGCAAGCCAGTGTCCCGAGTGCTGCTGCTGCTGTGTGATTGCTAAAAACAAATAAAGTTAGCAGTAGTTACTACTACTTAACTACGCTAATCTCTGAAGAGATTGGGTAGTTAGAGGGAGATACCTTCGCGTCTATGTTGGCTGCGTTGTCTGGTCTTTTTTGAAGTATCAGGGAAAGAGGAAAAGTTATTGGGAAAAAAAATATCCATAAGTTCAAGTGATGAACTGCCTGGTTTGTGGCGGTCCGGGCAGGTTCCGCAGTACTCATCGTTTCGTAATTACCACCTAAGCGTAAAACGTCCCCCCCCCCCCCCCCCCCCCAACAATACCCAACAATAAAAGCGGTAGATGCGCCGATTACAGATGCACTGATAGGACCGGTATGATAAGGTGACTTTAATGTGGGGCGTATTCAAGCTGTACCATGGGCACCGATTCTGCGGGGATCATTCGCCTTGAATAAAAACTCCTGGAAACACGCGGCTGGAGCTTGCAGGTGAGAAGTTGTAAGGTTTTGAGTTAAATTCACGGATTATTGCGGACGAAGGGCCTTGATCGAGTGGAAACCGGTGGAGCAGTAACATGCCGCAGCCTCAATGCTGTGGCCTTACACTGCAGCATGGGCTGAACACACCGTTGCCGCACACGCTTTCTGGCTTTTTTATTTTCTTTTAACAACTAATGACAGCACATTGCCGTGCGATTGAAATATTTATTGTAGACGATATCACCAGCAAACTTGCGCATCAAAATGAGCAAAACTGCTCGAAAAAATTGCGGTGGCTTAGCTCGGTTGGGCCAGGATATACGTAGCATGAGCTTATGCGAACAAAATGATAGGCGCTATCAAGCGGCTCTGGTGCAGCGTCAGACTTGGCTACTGCGTAACAGAGGCGCACAGCTGGGCACGCGGTGGCGCCAGTGCGTCTGCCGCGGCTATGATGTCACTCCTCTGGAATGCGCAGACCGGCGAAGCGGGCACGGCGGCGGCCCCGGTGCGCCAACTGTGCGCCGTGTGACGTCACTGCTCCTCGCGCATGCGCAGCACGGAGCACGGCTCATTAGGCGAGCCACGCGAAACTGCTCAACCTCGGCCAGTCTAGCTCACGCTACAAAATAGAGAGAATACGCACCAGCGGGGGGCTTCGGTACTGCCCAGGAAACCGTCATGCGCGCATCGAGTATACTCCCCACTCCGAGCTTGTTTCCAAAAAACAGATTCGAAAAATTGGCCGTCGACGAGTTGGCTTTCGACGAATTGGCCTAGAAGCTCAATTCCTTTACAGCACCTTATTTGAGACGTGCATTTTTTAACTTCAAACGCTATATTTAGGGTTCAGGGTTTTCGGGTAAAAGTACGCCGAATTCATGTTTCCAAATTTGGTCTAAACTGAAAAAGTTCAGTATTTTTAGGGCGTTTGGAGTGGTGTGTGTGTGTGGGGAGGGAGGGGGGGGGGGAATGTGACTCATAACTAGGGTTTCGTGTTTTCGGATAAATTCGAAAAAAAAAACCGGTAAAGGTTTCGTCTATTCAGATTTATCTGATAAATTCTGAATTTCGATGTGCCAATCCCCTTCCCCTTCCCCCCCCCTCCCACACACACACACAGACACACACAAATATATATTACGATTAATGGTTTATTCAGCGCGTAGAGTAAATGGTCCTGGGAAAATTCCACCACACATATCTTTCAAATTTCGTTCAGGACAACAGGTCATTGTACTATCGGGTCAAGACAAAAGTCACTGTTTATATTTCCGGTTTGGGTCATACTATTTGTGCCTGAGAGGAAGGAGAGGCTGTGTTTTTGTAACCGTGAAAGCTATGGACCATAGAAATTACATAAAGCGGGGGAGAGAACAGTTGAAACTTCTCTACTTCATCCTTTTCCACTCTACCTGTTGCGGCCATGTGGTAGGTTGATGGAATAGCATGGAATGAATACAGACTTCCCAGAAACTACCTCCAGTAGGTATC